TCACAGCCCCTCGTTTGTTGTCCTCTTCTCTCTCTCTGCCTACGGTTTACCGGGCAGTTCTGTTTGTGACGATATATATGTTTGTGACGATATATATATATATCTATTTGACGATATATATATCAGCCTCCTGATGAGTCGGTGAAACTCCGACGAAACAGTTTGTCACAGCCCCTCGTTTGTTGTCCTCTTCTCCCTCTCTGCCTATGGTTTACCGGGCAGTTCTATTTGACGATATATATGACGATATATATATATATATATATATATATGGTTTCTGCATTCATGTGTGTAGAGTACCGTCCCATACATATGCCTACATATGTATAATGATCAGTGCAAGGACATGGTTTCTGCATTCATGTGTGTAGAGTAGCGTCCCTCCTTTACTGGCTGCAGGCACCCTCCGCATCCGGACACTAATGTCCATTGTGCGGCCATGGGCGTTATACTGAATGCATGATCTTTTGTGGTACCTGTTCGTTCTTCCTTCATGTCGGCCTGCAATCGATATGCCATACATCGGGAGTGTTTGGCGGCATGCTCAATGCCCGCCGTCGTGGACCTGCAATCGACATGCCTCTCATTATTTTCCCCTCGTTTCCCTTTGTCTTCCTTTACTTTATCTTCCTTCCATCTTTTCTCTCTGTTTATGGTACTAAGAATGCTCTGCTAGGTCTTCCTTTTCCTCACCGGTCTCGTCCTTGTAATGCACCCCCTCTCTGTCGTCAATGACAGACTGACTCCTGAGCCTTCTCTTATCTTTTCCTATGCTTTCACGCACAGCGTACAAGTTGGCTGTTATGGTGCATGAGGATGCAAGCAGGGGCACAGTGAAGAGGGAGCTAAAAGAAGCAATAATCAAAGAGGCATCAGTGACGAAAGGAAAAAGGAAGGAACTGCATACACAGAGGCAAAGGAACGGTTTGAGTGTGCTCTTCATGTTTGTCTTGTGTATTTTTATGTGTAGTTTTATCCATTGCTCGTGGAGTGTGCTTTTTTTTCCTTTTTTTTTTTTGTGAAACGCCACGGAGGGCGTGGGGGAGGTAACAGGGTGCATGAAGGGAGTGTGCTTTTTTTAAATGATAGATACGGGACAATATATATGTATATATAGTCACAGAGAACTGCCCGGTGAGCCGTCGGCAGAAGGGAAGAGAAGGACAAGAAACGCAGGGTTGTAACAGACTGTTACATAGGAGTTTTACCAACTCATCAGGAGGCTGAACCCTAATATATATATCTTTTTATTTTATTTTATTTTTTATCTATGACGATAGACCTTTCTTTGTTCTGTGGGGGGTTGCTGGCTCGTGATGGGGTGTGAAACAGCAGTCTGTAGAGTCTTTTGTCTGTTGTGGGCAAGTGATAGTCTGCTTTGATTTTTGTTACAGGTGCCCTTGAGGGCAGTGTTTGGTGCCCAGATCAGGGTATCAATTGTCCGGCAGTTGGTGATGCTTAGCGACAACCGGGGTTAAGGTGGATTATCACTTACAGTATCATAAGTTAGGGAGGGAACTTTGCAGATGAGAGGGTTCAGCCTCCTGATGAGTTGATGAAACTACGACAAAACAGTCTGTCACTGCGCCTCATTTGTTGTCCTTTTCTTCTCCCTCTCTGCCTACAGTGACTGGGCAGTTCTTTCTGATGATATATGCATATGAGGTGAAGGGGGAGTTAAAAGA